GTTTACAATTGTTCTTAACAAATTTTATACCTTAAAAGTGATTAATAATAGCATCGTTATTTGAAGAAAAATCACTTCACAAATAAAGAAAAATTGAAAGAAAATATAAATGAGAGAAATGATAAAGAAATTAGTTAGAGGTTGAATGTTGTTCGTACAAAAAAAATTGAGATACAAAGAGAGGTAAGGAGAAGATGTGAATTTTAATTTTTGAGGAATTATAAAACTCAAGAACGAACCAAAAAAGAAAAGAAGAAAAGGAGAAAAGAATAAACATAAAATAAAGAAAAGTTAAAACAATTAAAGAAAAAGCACAAAATAAACCAAAAAAGAAAAGAACGAAAAGGAAGACAATAAACAGAAAAAAAAAAAAAAAAGACAAAAAATATAAAGGGAAGCAAAAGACAGAGGAATAGAACCCCTGACCTTGACTATGAAAGGGGCACACAATCACCAATGGACCAAAGTGGCATCTTGTGCAAGGGTTCACCCAGATTTAATTAAGTTTTATACTAGAAGAATTACAGTGTTATAAGCAGTCTAGGGATGGGAGCATGGGTTCACGTGAACCCATACCCCTCCCTGTAAATCAGTCCCTGCTCTCCTCTCAGCAACTTTATCAAAAAATCAGAAACTTGTCCAGATTCATCTTCAGAATCACACTTGCATGAAGTCGTTTCACGTTAAAACTAAAACTTCATGCTAATGTAGCATGAAGTTTTAGAATCACACTTGCATGAAGTTGTTTCATGCTGAAACTTCATGCTAATATAGCATGAAATTGTTTCGCATTGAAGCTAAATCTTCATGCTAATGCATGCTACAGTTATTTATCCTACAGTCTACAGTTTTGTCATGAGTTTTATCCGAAACTTCAGTCTAAACATGCTGAAGTTATCAGTTCATTTGCTAAAACTTCAGACTAAACATGCTTAAGTTTTTTAGTTCATTTGCGAAAACTTCAAAGACTAAACATGCTTAAGTTTTTGTCTTGTAGTATGTAATTTTCTAATGAGTTTTTCCTAATGCATGCTGAAGTTATTTAGTTCATTTGCTAAAACTTCAGGCTAAACATGCTGAAGTTATTTAGTTCATTTGCTAAAACTTCAGACTAAGCATGCTTAAGTTTTTTAGTTCATTTGCTAAAACTTCAGACTAAACTAGCTTAAGATTTTGTCTTGCAAGATGTAATTTTCTAAAGAGTTTTGCTAATGCATTATTTAGTTCATTTGCTAAAACTTCATACTAAAACATGCTGAAGTTTGGTAACGCAGTCTAAAGTTTTGTCCTGAGTTTTATCCGAAACTTCAGTCTAAACAAGCTGAAATTTTTTAGTTCATTTGCTAAAACTTCAGCATAAACATGCTTAAGTTTTGTCCTGCAGTTTGTCGATAGTCTTTTATAAAAAAAAGGGCAAAATCATCTTTTTAAAATGCTTTTAACAAAAAAATGGGTACGGATGCAAATGAAAAACAAAACGAGTATAAGTTAAAAAGGGGCGACCAAATAGGACGCCCCATGCAATTTTTACGTTACTTTACTTTACTTTACTATCTCTTGGAATTTTTATATAAATAGCCGGTCAGATTTGTTATTTATTTTTTCTAGTCAATATACATAAATTATAGAATAATTATACACAATTACATACATATTATATATGGATTATACGTCTGCCTGCTATTTTAGTGTAAGAGATTATGTAGACGACTGTATATTATAATGGCCCATTTTATTTTTTAACTATCCGTAACCAATGAGGAGACCTTGACACATGAGTTATAGGACAATTGATATTTCACTTCTGCCCACAATATGGTTATGTTTGAATGTCTCTTGCAGTTTTGAAGCAACGCCATTATCTTCCAGATTAAATTAAAACTTATAATAATATATTTATCTATATTTATATTTTATTATAAAAGCATGAATACAATGTCGGATTACAAAAATAACCTTATAATATTAAGTATAATAACTCATAATAAAAGGACATAACCGAAATTTTAGATATTAGCCTTATAATCCTATTAGTTTTAGGAAATAATACTACACTTTAAGAATCCTACATGACAAGGTTCCAATGCAATATTTACGAATATAATGTTGGTGAACCAAAATATCCTTAAGATATCTTTCGCTAATTAACTCTTACGTTGGATAAAATGTCAAAAAGTTTAAATTTTAGAATTTAAAATTAATTGAGATATCAAGTCTAAAATAAAGTGTGGTTGAGGAAATATCGTTTGCACAGGAAATCGTTCTCTAATGTCTCAACTTGAATAGGAGTTCATATCATTATATTTTATTCTTTTTCTATATTTTATAAAACACTATTCCCATAAACTCTTCGAAATACCCAGATGCAGAAAGCATATAGTTACTTTCGGGCAAGACATATAATACTATATGTTAGNAATAAAATATATATATATATATATATATATATATATATATATATATTAATATTATTTTTACAATATTAGTTATAAATATACGATTTTTTCTAAATTAATGTATATTCACGAAAAATATACATCTTAAATACAAAATATAATATCATTTATACTTATAAAAATATATAGGCACAAATTTGTTATATTAACTTTAAAGTTTTGATAATTACTTAATTTGAAATTTAATCTAACTGTATAATTACACTTGATCAACCAAACAGTAAACTTGTAATTACACTATGACAAACAAATAAGTCGTCGTAATTACATAACTGTGTAATTAGTAGGATAATAACTACACTAATTCCAATTACAGGATGACTTTCCAAACAGACTCTAAGGACTGCTTATTAAGTCGCAAATTACTAACCCACATTTACCCTTGTCGGTTGTTACGTTGATGCATTCTGCTTTTCTGTTAAGAGGAGTTTTGGAGCGAGATCTAGTGAGTATAACATAGGGGCATTCAAAATGGAACATATGATAAAAGGGTTGTTTGCACTTAATGGAGGTCTGAATCTTAATAATTCAGATCTCAAACATTAAGTGTGTATCTTAATTATTCAGATCTTAATCATTAAGTGTGTGTGTTTTTTTTACTTCACAAACCACTTAATGGGTCTGTATGATTAAGATCTATACCAGCGACTTAATTTCATTAAGATGCATCACATATTCATTATTAACTCCCACCATCGCCTATCACCATGCCGCCACCACCACCATACTCAACCGCCACCACCACCACCACCACCACGCCACCTTCATCCTCAATCATAGCCGCCACCATTATCAACCATCACCACCCACTATCCCCACCACTCCGACCACCATCATTCTCACCCACAATTAACACTCATCCACCTCACAACTAACCACCACATCACCATCAACAACCACAGCCGGTACTGCCATCTTATAACCTACCACCACCCACCCACCACCTTCCTCAGTCACAACTATTACCACCACCTGCCATTACTAACTATAGCCACCCACCACCACCATCCTCAATCATAATCGCCACCACTACCAATCACTACTAGCTACTAGCATGAACCACTCTCATCAACCAAAATTACCACCAACCACCGCCTCTAGTCGACATTCACACGTTAGCCATCACCACCAACAACTATCATATTTTAAAAAAAACTATATATTTTATTGACAAAATATTAGATTAGTTAGTATTTCATTTGAATTTTATGTTTATTAATTCTCAAATAAAGATAAATTTTATACATTCAGATGTTAAAAATCAAATAGTCTTAATTATTTCTATTCAGATTTTAATACACATCTTAATATATTCAGATGTGTATTAAGATTAAGACGTCTTAATCTTAAAAAACAAATGAGACCTAAAATGGAACATCTGTTTGTGTGTGTGTTGGGTGGGGGTGGGGTTGGGGAGGGGGGGGGGGATAACTGATCTCCACAAAAGTTCGTGATTGGTATTGTTCATACCACAAGTTAAAAGGCTGAGTAAACTGTTCATTACAAAGGATACAGGAAAGTTAACATAATGACAGATCGATATTCTTAGCATTCGCAGATAATGACATTACATAACTTGTTTCACCATTTGGTGAAGACTTCACTGGAATAACAGAAAAGGAAAAGCTGGCAATAGATAACTCGCTTCGCTACTTGATAGCCTAAATTTCTTTCCCTATTTTTGCAATCGAAATAATTACTTCGAATAAATTTATTTCTGGAGTCCTGTGCCTACCCATTAAAGAAAAAAAGAAAAAGATTACACAAATGTCTCTTTTGCAGGAAAACCTCAGCAAAAAGATCTAGCAATTAAATTTCTTTAATCAACCGTAGGCACTTCATAGCAAGAGTCCTTTGGTATTGTGATCCACTTGTAATGTCAAAACACTCTTAACAGTGCAAGTACACCCCAGAATACGTCAATGCTTGTGGTGGTTAACTATACCTTAGCCTGTGATGACATCCAGTAGTAGGACTAGTCAATTAACCACGACATTGTTAAATCCATTGTGCTGGTAGGCCGCACCGTTTGGCCAGGCAACAATGCATCTTAGAAGATGGAGATTACACCCTTGTGGATTAATGCCTTTCCAAGATGTTGACTATTAAATCCAGAATCTTGATAGAAGGACATCAGTTGCAATGATTCGAACGAGTCACAATTCTTTGTCCTGCTTCTGAGCCCGTGGTATGTTATACAAGATAAGACCAACGAGAAGGACAGCACTGCCGAGAAGGAAATAGGGGCTCAAAACTGAACCTTCTGGGAGATATGGCAGCGGTATGGAGAGAAGATACATTGATAAAGGCACTACAAAAGCAGAGAGGAAAAAAGATGTAGTTGGTCATAGGACTGCAAAAAAGTTGAATATAAAAAACAACTCTAAGTATTGTGTTCGGAGCGTCTGTGAGAGGGAGAGAGAACCTGATGACATCACAACAAGGGATGAAATCACAGCAGTCGAGATTTTCACAAGATTGAGAATTGATATGTTGAAAGCAATATTTGTAAATATGTAAAGAAGGGGTAGCAACGGCGCCCCATCACAACCTGATCAATAGACGTGCCAAAAGGACAGTAAGACTCATCAATCCATGATTTAGGGGGAAAATGCTTCTAACTTTATAATTCTTTTATGGAGAAAAAAAATCACGTGTTCACATCTACTATGGGAAAAGATAATTAAAATTTTGTTTAGCTACTTAAGTTCTACATCAGAGCTGCTGAAACTAATACATGTTCGTGACATGAACAATATGCTTTGAAGATTGGGCTTCTTTTATAGAGAACTAGGTTTTGATGTAGGTTCTCTATTTTTTTGGTATACAGCTTTTGTATACGGGGTTTCACCATTAAATTATTTACCTTATTAAAAAATGTAACATTATTGCCAGCAGTAAATGGCCATCGAGCAACTACCAGAAATTTGTGCTATCATTCTAATTTTCTTCTTCATGTTTTCACTGATAAAGTATAGCTATGGACTGAATCCTAAGAGACATGTACTAATATGCAAACAACTAGGCACACAACTAGCTTATATTTCCAGAATACCTTATGATAGCAAGTTTTCAGTTATACAATTCACGTCGAGTCGCAACCGACATTAAGTTTTTAAATCCAGTTTCTGTGCTTCGTTTTTATTATTCCAGTACCCCCAAGTTCTACGGATATTTTCACAATGTAAGTTAGAGCAATCTACTAACAAATAACTGAAAGAAGTAGTTTGTATAAAGTAAGGGAAAGTGAGACTTTCCCACATCGATGGTCTAAAGCCCCTTTATGGGCTTTTTAAGTTCTTGTCCATTTTATATATTTGTTTAAGAATACACACTATTAAGTGTATGTGCAAATATTTGTTTATATATATTAATATTAGATACTAGTTTCCTTACAAGGATATTCAGAAAATCTGCAAGTATCAATTTTGTGGCTTGTTGTATCCTGAAGAAGATTGTCTGTATTTTCTCCAAATTTGTATAAGGGCAATAACTTCTTTAAGGAAAGTCGTTCTCACGCCTCAAGCCTTCTTCAATTTCGTTTTCTATTATTATTTTTCTAACAATCTTAAAGAAGTTATTCTGCTATGGAGAACATTCTGTCCGTTGTTGAAAATCCAAAAGAGTTCATCAAACTCGATAGTTTTGATGGATCAAACTTTACTCGCTGGAAGGACAAGATGATTTTCCTACTGACTGCTCTGAAGATTTTTTATGTTCTTGATCCACAATTGCCTGTTGTGCCAGATCCTACTGCTGAGGATTTTGATGAAGTGAAAGCAACGAGGAAGAAATGGGAAGACGATGAACTGCTGTGCCGTGGACATATTCTGAATACATTAACAGATCGTCTCTATGATCTGTATCAAAATTTGAAGTCTCCAAGGGAAATCTGGACGGCATTGCAAAGTGCTTATGAAAACGAGAAACGAGGTATCGATAAATTTCTATCTTTAAAGTACTTCGAATTTAAAATGGTTGATACAACACCCATTATGGATCAGATTCATGAACTGCAAATCTTAGTTTCAAAACTAAGTGATCTTGAAGTTAAAATTCCTGATGCACTTCAAATCAGTGCTATACTTTCTAAACTGCCTTCTTCTTGGAATGACTATAGAAAGAAAATCCTGCATTCTTCTGAGAAATTGACTGTGGAACAGTTTCGAACTCACATTCAAATTGAAAGTGAGAATCGAATTCGTGATACTTTTATGCAACCTTCGAGTTCCACAGTTAATAATGTTAGTTAGAATAATAACGGAGACGGAAACAAAAATCTGAAAGTTTCAAATAAGCCTCAATTTTAGAAGAGGAATACTTTGAAATGTCATCATTGTGGAAAGAAAGGCCACAAGATTCGTGATTGCAGGTTTAAGAAAGCAGGAATTAACTTTAACCATGGAAATTCTGGAAACTCGGGAAGGTCTGAAAAAGCAAAAGCAAACACAGTTGAAAGTTCTTCACAAGGTTTGGTTGCAATGGTTTCTGTAGTACCATGTAATATGGTTACAGAACTAAACATGGTTGTTGCTGCTATTAAGAGTCAAGAATGGTGGTTAGATTCGGGTGCCACCGTTCATGTCTGTTATGAGAAGAATATGTTCAAGACTTATGCAGAAGTGAAGGAACCCGAGAAGGTTCTCATGGGATATCATATGACTGCAGATGTTGCAGGAAAAGGAAGTGTTGAGATCAATTTCACTTCTGGGCAGAAGCTAACATTGCTAAATGTGTACTATGTTCCCGACATGAAGAAGAACTTGATGTCTGCTAGTTTGCTGTCTAAGAGAGGCTTCAAGATAGTCATAGAATCTGATCATGTAATAGTATCTAAGAATGGTTTATTTGTTGGAGAGGACTACACTTGTGATGGCATGTTCAAACTTAGTATTAATGCAATAAACTATGTTTCTGCTTATATTGTTGAGTCCAATTCTTATTTATGGCATGCTAGATTAGGACATTTAAATTTTGGTTCGTTAAATTATATGTCCAAAAATGGATATATTTCTTACAAGCATGATAATGTGAAAAAATGTGAAATATGTATACAAGCAAAAATGACTAAGAAACCTTTTTGTAAAATTGAAAGATTCAGTGAATTGTTACACTTAGTACATTATGATATATGTGAACTAAATGGAAAGTTAATCAGAGGAGGCAAGAGATATTTTATTACTTTTATAGATGATTATTCTAGATTCACATATGTTTACTTGCTTAGAACAAAAGATGAAGCATTTCAGAAGTTTAAAGAATATAAATCTGTTGTGGAAAATCAAAAGAATACTAAGATTAAGATTCTTCGTAGTGATAGAGGTGGAGAATATTTTTCCTCTGAATTTAATAAGTTTTGTGAAGAGAATGGTTTGATACATCAAACAAGTGCTCCTTATACATCACAACAAAATGGTTTGGCCGAAAGAAAAAATAGAACTTTAGTTGATATGATTAATGCTATGTTAATGAATGCACATTTACCACATAATTTATGGGGTGAAGCACTTTTAACAGCTTGTCACATATTAAATAGGGTGCCTTCAAAAAGCTTACATGTTTCACCATATGAACTTTGGAATAATAGAAAACCTAATTTAGATTATTTTAAAGTGTGGGGGTGTATATCATTCTATAGAGTTCATGATCACCAAAGAACAAAACTAGGTCCTAGAGGAATTAAAAGTATTTTTGTTGGATAAGCTCAAAATTCTAAGGCATATAGATTGTTGGATCTAGAATCTAATATTATAATAGAATCTGTTCATGTTGAATTTATTGAAAATAAATTTTTAGATAACTCTGTTGATAAGGAAATGACTGAATCAAATGAAAGTGATAATAATGCATATAGATTGTCACATTCCGAAATTACTACAAGTAAAAATCAAGGTGACAATATACAAATAGAACTAAGAAAGAGTCAAAGAATAAGGAAAGAAAATGTCTTGATTCTGATTTTATCTCTTCACAGTCCTTAGTCTTTCTTGTAGAAGGAGATAGAAAAAATATCTGTAATCAAATTCATATCTTGTTAAATGTTGAAGAAGATCCGAAGACATTTCAAAAAGCTATGGCTTTCTCGAGATGCTGCCTTCTGGAAAGAGGCTATTAATGATGAAATGGATTCAATAATGTCCAACAATACTTGGGTTTTAGTTGATCTTCCAAATGGATCAAAACCCATAGGTTGTAAATGGGTCTTTCGAAGGAAATATAATACAGACGGTTCTATCCAAACCTTCAAAGCAAGATTAGTAGCAAAAAGTTTCACTCAAAAAGAAGACATAGACTATTTTGATACTTATGCTCCTGTAGCAAGAATAACGTCCATTAGAGTGCTTTTATCGTTGTCTTCTATATATGACTTGTATGTGCATCAAAGGGATGTTAAAACGGCCTTTTTAAACGGAAACCTTAATGAAGAGATTTATATGCAACAACCTAAAGGTTTTGTTCTTCCAGGAAATGAGAAGAAAGTATGTAAATTGATAAAGTCTCTCTATGGTTTGAAACAAGCACCTAAACAATGGCATGAAAGGTTTGATAGTGTTGTACTTTCAAATGGATTCATACATAATCATGCTGACAAATGTATCTACTCCAAGTTCACAAAAGAATACGGGGTTATCATTTGTCTATATGTTGATGACATGCTAATTTTTGGTACAAATATGCTTGTATTACTGAAACCAAGAAGTATCTAACTTCAGTTTTTAAGATGAAAGACTTAAATGAAGTAGATACTATTCTAGGCATAAAGGTGAAAAGAGAAAACAAAAGAATGACTTTATCACAATCGCATTATATTGATAAGATCCTTGCTAAGTTCAGTCATTTAGGCATAAAGGAGTTTAATACTCCTTATGACTCCAGTATCAAGCTAACTGAAAATACTGGACGAGCAATAGCCCAATTAGAGTATGCAAGTGCAATAGGTAGTATGATGTATGTAATGCATTGTACAAGACCTGATATAGCATTTGCTGTTTGTAAACTTTCAAGGTTTACTAGTAATCCAAGTAATGATCATTGGAAAGCAATAACTAGAATACTTGGATATTTAAAATATCCAAAATATTTGGGCATTTGCTATAATGGTTTTCCCACTGTTCTAGAAGGATATTCTGATGCAAGTTTGATTACTAGTGTTAATGATAATAAATCCACTTCAGGTTGGATATTTACTTTAGGAGGTGGTGCCATTAGTATTTCTCATTCTACCATGGAATCTGAATTCATAGCATTAGCAGCTGCTGGGAAAGAAGCAGAATGGTTGAGGAACATGTTATTAGATATAAAGTTGTGGCCACAACCCATGCCAGCCATTTCTGTATTTTGTGATAGTGAGACTACCATGTGTGTGGCTCATAATAAGATATATAATGGGAAATCAAGACATATAAGCTAGAGACATGCTTATATAAGAGAATTAGTCACAAATGGGACTATAACTATTGTGTACGTGAGATCGAATAAGAATTTGGCTGATCCACTTACCAAAGCATTAACGAGAGATGTAGTACAACAAACTTGTCAAGGAATGGGGCTAAAACCCTTGAATTAAACACAAGCAACGGGAACCCAACTTTGAGTTAGTATACACTCTAACAAAATAAGTTCAATGAGGTAATAACAAGTTGCTTTGTGTTGTTTGAGCACTGATCTCCTTTTAGAGCTTTAATTCATCTGTACTACATACTGTTATGTAAGGAGTCAATAAGTTGTTAAATGCCTGGAATAACAGGGGCAAAACAACAAACTTTGTAGTGCAAACTGTTACTCGAAGAGGCTGAGTTAAATCTTAATAAAATTAGTAAAGTCTGTAGTAACAGGGACATTGTATCTAATTTTACCTATATGAATACTAAAGTGGTGCCGCTTCAAGCAAGATTTAAAAGGTTAATCTTGTAAGTATTCATGAAATCAGGATGAGCACAGGGCTGTAAACGTGCTAAAGCATATACTGAGTTTTCTGAGTTACTAAAATAGTATTACGTGTGTGATATTTTCGGTTTTGACACAAGGAGTTGTTGTTCAAATCCTTAAGATACCAATAGCTTCGTCAGAACTTTAAAGTGTTTGCACTAATGAAAAGTTCAAATCTAAACAAGATACTTTTCGGTATGCGTGATATTATAAGAAATATAACTAACTAGTGGGGGATTGAAAGAAATAGTTTGTTATTTGAAAGTAAGGGAAAGTGGGACTTTCCCACATCGACAATCTAAAGCTCCTTTATGGGCTTTTTAAGTTCTTGTCCATTTTATATATTTGCTTAAGAATACACACTATTAAGTGTATATATATAATACTTGGACTTGGGCCGGGCCGGTTATTAAATTAATAATTTTATTATTTATTTCTATAGCAGAAAATCTGTTTTATTTGAATTTAAAATTCAAATAAACAGACACGTCTGTTAATGAAATAAAGTGTCTTTTCAGAAAAGGCCTGACTTTTGCTCTATAAATAAACACGAGTTTCCCTACAAAGAATATTCAGAAAATCTGCAAGTATCAATTTTGTGGCTTGTTGTATCCTGAAGAAGATTGTTAGTATTTTTCCCAAATCTGTATACGGGCAATAACTTCTTTAAGGAAAGTCGTTCTCACGCCTCAAGCCTTCTTCAATTTCGTTTTTGATTATTGTTTTTTTAACACACAACACATACAATATGAAACATCGTACAATGCAATTTTGGAAAATCATACACGCATCCATAAATTATTCGAAGCTCAAACTGATCTGAGCTCAATTGTAACTTTAAAATTATGTACACACTTGTTCCCACATATACAAGACTGTCCAATAAGGTATTAAAAAATTTCTCGCAATTTTCTAACCAATTGATATGTTAAATTTAGTTAAAATGAGCATTTAAAGGGTAAAGTCTCCGCTTATCTCAAGTCTTTAGCTTAGACTTGGCTATAACATCGCAAACATGTCAACAAGTGTCAATCTACATAACTAGGGATCGTTCGATTAATCAAATGTCAACCGATACAATGTTTGATTAGTATAAACGAATAATTAACCCAACATAATATTCCCCGTATAGTGTTTGGTTAACAGTACTAAATAATATCCATATTGAATTTATGCGGGAATCTAGAATGTGGAATAAGAATATATGTATTAACTATAAGATATAACTGTTAGTAGATTGTATTTGTAAAATAATTCTGGAAATATAAAAGAGTATAAACAGAAATGAACATAAACAGAAATGACATAAAACCAATTCGAGCCCACTGAATTCACAGTGTTTCCTTAAGGAATTTAATCCCCTCCTAGTACCCAAGGTTATGGATTATTTCCTCCCAGGATAGAACGAATTACACACTGGTGTAGTGGTACTTCAAACCCCAGTGTTTCAGCGAACACAAAGTTCGGTAGCAAATCACACTTACTTTTTGCTTTGTTTGATGCTAAAAGTATGCAGAAGAAGGAGAAGAAACTCAGAAAATCGTAGTGAAATTCTGAGCAGAATAGTGTTGTATTTATAGCCAAAGTTAGGCTGAAATCTGAAGAGGTGCAACTCTTCAGAATGGCTGTTTATGCAAAACGCCCACAGCATAAATGCCATTACATAAATGGCCATTTACTCAATAATAAAGAGGGAAAATAAAGAGGGAAAATTGAAGAGGGTAGTTACTTTTCTGTTACCAAAACAGAAAAACGGATTGAATTTAATATTAATATTTAATATTAATATTTTGTTATTCAAACAAATATTTAATAACATTTCTGTTAATATTTTACTATTAACAAATAAATTTGGTCCAAAAAGTTAATCAATCAATCGATCATTTGACCAAATCCAAATCCAAATCCAAATCCGAAGCCGAAGCCGAAGCCGAAGCCGAAGCCGAAGCCGAGCCGAGCGAGCGACGACGACGACGGCGCGAGGCTTGCCTTCTTCTCAACTCTTTAAGAGCTAGAAGAAGAGCAATTGCTTATATACCCATAAAAAAACCCTCTTCCTCTTCCAATATGGGACAATGCCCATTTGCCAAGGGGGGGAACTTAAAATTTCACTCAAAAATTTTATTTCCCTCCATTTCCCATTCACCCTCTTTTAAGTATTTAATATATTAATTAAACACATCCAAAACCCAACAATCCCCCACATGAATGGGGAATGGCTATATCACGGAAGTATGCATGAAAAACTGTATGATTCGCAAGTAAGGATTAATTGCATCTGGATAAGTAGGTTTACCTTTGAACTTTCCGTAGTGAACTTATGTCGGATATACTCGATCAATCGGTAGATTTGATATCTTTGAACCGTCGAACTTTAGTATATACCTAGACAACCACNTATTTGTTGGAAAGGGCTACACTTGTGATGGCATGTTCAAACTTAGTATTAATGCAATAAACTATGTTTCTGCTTATATTGTTGAGTCCAATTCTTATTTATGGCATGCTAGATTAGGACATTTAAATTTTGGTTCGTTAAATTATATGTCCAAAAATGGATATATTTCTTGCAAGCATGATAATGTGAAAAAAATGTGAAATATGTATACAAGCAAAAATGACTAAGAAACCTTTTTGTAAAATTGAAAGATTCAGTGAATTGTTACACTTAGTACATTATGATATATGTGAACT